TCACTGAGGCGCGCAAGCCATCACACCACGTCAAGGTGCAGTCTCGTCGTGATGGCATCTGATTAATGGTCCATGTTCGATTTCGTGTTGATCTGTGGAACGGACAGCAGCCGTTCACCATGATCGACTCGCGATATCTGATGGATCTACCGACGTAGGGCCGTCGAGAATAAAAGCATTGTAACCATGGAACTGTTTTCACATGCATATTGCAAGAGGTGAACTACGATAGTCACGCTAAATTTGCAATGCGGAAAATCGGTAGGGATTACTCCATGGGAATGCACGTCGGATTGGTGGTGGTGAAGCGGCTCAGGTTGCTCTAACCCGCGTGCTTNCGCCACCCAACTTCGCTATATTCCGGCTTAATATCACGCATAAACTAGCGGGGCCTTAAGTGGTTCGTCACTTCAAGTAGTTTGGCGATATTTATGAGCGAACAACATACTCGTGACTATGGGGGGGGTACCTGGCCTAGTGTTGACCACAGAAAGGTGTGTAATGGAAAAAGGTTGATTTCGTAGATGCTCCAGGCGTATTGCCCGATTATAACCTACAGAGAGAGAGAGAGGGTAATGATGCGCAATATACTTCGCCCTAAATCGCCGAAATTAACTGGGTTGATCACGGTCCCAACGGTCAGGTTTGATCTACTTTTAGTACAATAGGCAGCGTTTATTCCGTTCGCCCCATTTTTGCAAGTATTGTCGGTGGGCCTTATTTAACCCTGTGACTTGGATCACTAGTTCTAACAACCAAACAGAAGATCCATATGGTTATAATATCCGTCTGTTCTAATGTTCCTTACATCAAAATGTCTAATAAGGTGGCGTATTCATTAGATCCTGGAATCGACCCCAAGTAAAATAAATAAATGATCAATACAGATAGAAACGAACATGGTTAAAACATCGATATACCGAGTGGATTTTCATTTCTGTTTTCCTTTGCGTGTTACGTAACGAATTCTTTCCAGCCTATTACCTTTTCTTTGTTCACAAAAGTTTTCGTAGGCTTTGCTTTATTCTAAATCCTTCTATGCGGAGAAAAGTTCCTATTGTTTAGTTTGATATACTCTGCGAAAATCACCTTTCAATTAATCACTTGTTGTTCGATCCCCTCAGAATGATTCCAATTACGGATCCGAGGAAAATACTGTTTTGAAAACGGATCACCTTGTCAGTGGGACCATGCCACTGCATTCGCCGTCCACATTTTCAGATCCAAATTACGCGCCTGCTACCCACGGCCCAGAGCTGATCCGACCACCAAGTTTAGTTACTCCACTCATGTCATACACTGTGTCGCAGGACATGAATCTCAACTTATCTGACCTACATCCCAAGCGAACTGCTGGTTCCGTTGCCCCTTGTCCGCCTGCACTGCATTTGATACAGCCTCAGCACGATTGTCTACCGCCTCCCGGGCAGTCTAGGACTCTTCTTCCCACGGATGCTGCATTACACTCTAGCTGGATCAATTCCAAAGTAAGCCTTTAAATACAAAGTGATTTTTTGGTTGTTTCCTGCTGTTACCGGATTTTGTAGCTGATTTTTCTGTTTTCGTTTCAACTTTCATTTAAAACCGAAACGGTTACAACCCATTTATGGTTAGCAAAGGTGTTTGTCCGTGTCTACAAGTGCGGGTATGCACCTAAAAACAGATCACATCGCTTATTCTACAGTTCAGTTTGCCCGACAGTGCCAAATATTGAGCACCAAGTATATCTACCTACATTCTGATGCCTTTGTTTCTCCACCACAATCCGTCAATAAAATGTAATTTTTCCAAAATACTTATCCTTTGTTGTAATCTGAATTTTGTTCATGATCTGGCATTTTCCTGTGATCGCATTGCTCACCTATCAGTATCACCTCCATGCAGAATGTGAAAACACGGTATATAGCGCAGTAAAGCAGCTTAGGTCCATCAGTGTGTACTGGGTTGTGGACTATTTTATGATTCTAGTGTTTTTGGGTTCACTCATGATATGAAACCGCGGATTGTGTGCCCGCTGACAGTCAGCTCACCTCATCACTACACTACGCCGTACACTTTCAGCCAGACTTGGAAACTCGGGAAAAGGTAGCAAACATAAATACAAGAGGATAATTTTTTTGCAACTTCTTTTATTTTTGTCGTTTATATGATTTATTTCATAATAGAGGGGCTGTAGGTGTTTTTAGTGAACTTGCAAGCCTTGACACTGCTGGTTTCGATTGTGAGCCCTATCTATAGAAGCTTCTAACCAATAACATTCATTATGCCTTGCTCCCCGGTTGCACAGTTTGGAAGGCCCGGCTGGGACCAGTCACGGTGACCGGAATCTCCTGGAATCACAAAATTGAGAAAATTGAGAATTCAGTGTGCTTTGTTCTTTTTGCTCCATAGAATGTTGATTGACAAAGTTAGGAATATATATATATATATATCAATGAGCGAGGTTGGGCAATTAAGAACAGTTCTGTCACTTACCAAAAATATACTTTTCCCACTCCATCGCGGAGGCCGTTGATATTGGAGATTCGATCACTACTTTTATGACACAGTTGCACACAGTAAATTATAATCGACCACGTGTTCTTGGAAACTCAGCAGAGTAAATCAGTTGTCTAGTGCTTATTAGTTTGATCCAATCTAAGCAAACCTTACTCGCAACCACAACTCCACTTTACCCCAATTTTCTCGTAACTCCTCTTCATTTGGTCTTCTTGTTTTTCTGGTTTCCTATGTGCTCCCTTTCCCCCTCCTCATAGTAATTGTAACCACGGCATCCCACTCAGTACTGTCACTTTCCTGCACACTAAAATTTCACCTGTTTCACAAATCCCCATCATTCCCTTCCCCGTCTTCCGTTCACTGTTTAACATTCGAACTCAAGCAAGTAGAATTACAAGCAGCTTTCGCTCGCACGTACACTGAAATCGTTTTCTGCGATCAAGGTTTATGGTGCAGCGTCATTACCAAACTTCGTTCATCATCAATGTCTTCACTTTCCCCTTGTCGGGTGACCGAAATGTTGCTGCGGTCGGTGTGGCTGATACCGTAGTTCATTTGCTGAGTGGAGCTGAGTAGGCTGTGATCGATTTCTCCCTCAATGGTCCTTTATGTGCTGTTCGCTCCAGACTATTTGTTATCGTTACCCTCCACCCCACTATTTGCAACTTATACGCCACGATCTTTATATAATTAGTTTACTTCCTTTTATTTACCATACAATCAGACAATTTTTAGGAAGGGGAAGCGGCCCTTTAAAGAGTTATCATACAGAGAATGGGGGAAAGTCAGATAGTGGTGCTGGAGTTCGAACACGTTCTTCAGGGTGATGATTTGTTAATCTTTGCCGTTTGACCACCAGAACTACGGAGTTAATCTATCAAGACTGTAAAATTTACTCGGAAAAGCAGTCCCCATTTTTCTTGCCAATGAGCAGAATGTTCATCGAGGTAAACTTTACCCAGGTGGTTCTCGCTTTGTAGGCAATCGAACTGACTATGGCGAAAGTGGTCTCCGACTTTCCACCGACAACCACCTTCACATCATCTCCACAAGGAGCGCTGTAAAGTAACATAACCTTCTCCCTTAAATTCTACCGGCCGGACATAGATAGTCCATTTCGCAATTAGCCATCACTTTTTCTGTTTTTCGGATTGGAGCACCTGCCTCTAAACCAATCATATATTAATACGTATCATGGCTGATATAATCAAGTTGCTATGCAACAGGAACATCTTGAGTTATACCCGTGTCCAAGTTCTATCCACTGGACTCCCACTCTTTCCATGGTAAACTCGCGTTGAAGTCAACTGGTGTTTCGTCCTAGACGATGTTCCATTCGCAAATAAATCTCACTATTAGCTCGAGAGTCATTTTGGTTTTGGTTTCCCCCCCACAAGTGTGTATGTGTGTGTGTGTGTGTGAATCGTTTAGGTGCACCCACCCGCGTTCCCGTTTTTCATGTTGTTTCCTATGTTGCATGTCGGGGTTAGGTACTATCTGGTTCACACATTTTTTCACCTCCAATCTTGACGACTCAACAAGCCCTGTGTGAATTCATCCCACTCGAACGTTTCTATGGTGATTGGTCAGTTGTAACTACTAAAAATATCCACGCCAATCGTATCACACGGTTAGTTAGTTACTTAGTTGAGTTTGGCTTCGCTTTCATCCGCGTATTTAGTCATACACTCATTCATTCATCGGTTGGTTCACTCACTCACCGAGACAAATATACTTGTTTGTCGAATGGTTTGTTCGTTCGCGCACGTTTAGTAATCCCTATTTCGATGCCACAGGATTTTCAAGGAATATTATCATTTCATCTTGATTTCTCAGCCCTTACCTCCGTGTCCGGCACACTTGTCCATGGTAGCACACACGAACGGATTGTTGGGCCAGTTCTCATCTATGACACTGTCTAATGCAGTGATGGGATCTTATATGGATAATCAGAATTTGCAACCTCTGGGTACCCTTTTCCAAAGCACCAACAATGCACCGCTACCGATTCTCATGCCTGGAATTCAAGTAAGTCAGCACCAAGTATTTATTCGGTGTTTTCTGATATTAACCCCGGTTTGGCATGTTGCGTAACTTCTTGGTTCATCGTGGAAATTTTTATGTGCAATTGTTATTTCTTTATTTATTATGATGAGGAATGACTGAAACGGAACCCATTCAACAGATCATACGGTCAAATTACTTCATTGAGGTTGGATTGCTTCGATGTCTGTTTGCTTGTTTATTTGTTGTGTCGGTTTACCATTTTATCCGCAGTTGTTCGCCACCTTTTGCGTTCTTTAATCCTTTTACTCGATCCTCCGCATTATAGACCGAGACGCTAGTGAAACTTCTTTTTTTAATTACACACTTTCGTGTACTGAACAGCAGATGGGGTAAACCCCATAGTCACGAAGACCTGCTGCCCAGTGATGGAAACCGGTAACCCAAGTCCCGGAACTTGGAGTGGTAAACCACATAAGGCCCCGATGGATTAGGCGTGATATTGAACCGGACGACAGAAAAGCTGCCTACCATCAAAGTTAGGTATCGGTAGCGGGACTCGAACCTCGGACCATAGGGTCCAAAGCACGCCTGTGACAGCAACTAAACAACTGGACCACTAC